TTTTAAGTGAATTTAAGCATAAGTACTTAAGTATTCAGAAACTCGTCTCAACAACGTTATCTGTGCTAAATCCATCACCTTCTTTTATTTAGTTCGTTATTCAAAATTGCGAATTGATAATACATGTACACAAATGTGCAAAATTGATTTTATAAACTTCAGTCGTCCCCTAGACTAAAATATATAAATATGATTTTTGAATTCAAGTGGTTCGCCCCTCCAACTTTTAAAACACTCGGGTTAATTTATCAAAATTTCAAACTTTAGCAACATCTTAAAAAATCTCCTCCTCCTCTGATCTCTCAAAAATTGCAAACTGTTTAAATATATATATATATATATATATATATTTATATATACACTCTAGCGCATTCAAAGTGATCCCCCCCTAAAGCATCCAAAGGAGATCCGATTCATCATTACTGTCTGTTGTTGACTCCAAATAATTGAGGGAAACTCACTAGACAAAATAATTAAAACTACTTATTTGAGATTTAATTATGATAGTTTTGATTAATAACATACATTTAAGTCAGATTGATGTCCTTTTTATAAATGATTTAGTTGTTGATGATAATGTATATCATAATACACGTGTACATAGTATAGGGTTAGAAGTGTAAATATACTTCTATACATCTTGTATATATACCCTAATTATAACCTAATAAAGATTGATTCAACCTCAATATTCTTTATGGTATCAGAGCTTTCTCTTAGCACCAAATAATTCCAAAACCCTAGGTTTCTTATTCTGCTGTGCCTCTGTGTCAATGGATGAGTCTTCGTCTTCTTCTTATTTGTCTCCTTCCTCTACTTCTCCTATTCCCTCCTTTCCCCATGCTCTTGTTCCTTCTCTTTCCACTGGTTCTCCGTTTCTTTCTACAATTTTTGCCCCTTCCTCTCCTGTTGTGTCTGTCATGCCGTCAATCCCTATTCCTTCTTTTCCTCCTACTTCTTCCTCTTTACCCACAACCCTTGCCTCTTCTGTTTTCTCTCATCTCGTTTTCTCCGTCACCAATATTCGGAATTATGTGGCAGAAACTCTTGATCACACTAATTTTTTTGTGTGGAAGGAATTGATGATTCCTATATTGAAAAGCAAAGGCGTTTATGGTCATGTTGATGGTTCCGATTCGTGTCCCTCCCCTAACAGTCCAGATTTTGATTACTTGATGCAAGTTGATTATCAGGTTCTGTCTTGGATTTAGGCCACTATATCAAGAGGCATTCTTCAATTTATTCTTCAACCTGGTAAGCAGCTCATAGCAAAATTAGCTTGGGAATCTATTCATCAGTTGTACCAAAGCCAACTTAGTGCTACTGCACTTCAATTAACTCAAGAATTCAGTGGTATTTAGAAGCAGTCTGGCCAGAGTGTTATGGACTATTTTCAGTATGTCAAGGGGTTATCTGATTGGCTTTTTGGAATTGGTCATCCAGTATCTGATAAAGATTTAGTGCTTCGAACTATTGCTGGTCTTGATCATTTCTTTTCAGTGGCAAAGCGCACTATTCCTCAACGTGTTCCCTTCCCTACTTTCTTGGAATTGCGATCACTACTATTGATTGAGGAAGCTAATATTTTGTAGGAATCCTCAAATAGCTCATTGATGAATGGCTCTTCTAGTTCCAGTCAATTGTTGCAACTTACTCACCTTTCTGATCTCTAGATTCATTATGCTGCTCATTTGCAATGAGGTCGTGGTTTTGGCCGGAATAATTCTTTTAGGGGAGGCCGGACTAATTGAGGTCGGGGATCTCGCGGAAGTGGTCGTACTGTCTGGAATCATCGCTCAAATTTTTCTGGCCATTCTTATTCTGGTTGCGGCTTCGGCAATGTTGCTCATGGTGCTTCTAATTTTTCTGCTGGTTATTCTGGGACTCATGGTGCTGGTTTTAATGGGTCTTTGTTTGCAAAGTTTGATGGCTAAGTGGCTGGGTTTCATTCTGCCAATAGTTCTACTCGTGCCTTACCCCCATTACTGCCAACTTCGCCAACTTCGCCAACTCCGCCAACTCTTATTGCTTGTCAATGGTGTAATCGACTGGGTCATCAAGCATGTGATTGCTCTTTCTTAACTACCAAACCTGCCTCTGCTTCCTCTACACCCCAATCACTATATGCAAATTTAGTTCCTGCTCCTATGGATCCCAATTGGTACTTTGATAGTGGAGCTCAAACCCATGCTACCAACAATCCTGGTAAATTACTTCGCTCCACTCCTTCCTCTTCCTCCAATTTTATTCAAGTCGGTAATGGTCAGTTATTGCCTGTTACTTCTCGTGGTGATGCTTTACTCTCTACTTCCAACTCTCAATTTAGTCTTAATAATGTTTTGGTTGCTCCACATCTTACCAAAAATCTTGTTTTTGTTCGTCAGTTTACTCGTGATAATAATTGTAGTGTTAACTTTGATTCATCTGGTTTTTCTATTAAGGACAACAAGATGAAGAACGTCCTCCTTCGTTGCAATAGTTCGGATGGCTTGTACTCATTTTCTAGTGGTTCCTTCCCCAATTATCCTGCTGTCTATTCTGTTTTGCATTCTCTTGATGTGTGGCATTGTCATCTTGGTCATCCGAGTATCACTTCTATTCAACATCTTGCTAGACATGGTCTTCTTCCAATTGAAAGAGTTACTTTGCCACCACGTTTATGTCATGCATGTTAGCTTGGGAAACATGTTCATCTTCCCTTTTCTAAGTCTTGTTCTTTTGATACTAAACCATTTGAGTTGATTCATTCCAATGTTTGGACATCACCTACAATTTCTTTTTCTGGGATTAAATATTATTTGTTATTTTTGGATGAATATAGTCATTATTTATGGATTTATCCTTTGTCATCTAAGGCTCAAGTGTTTGATTCTTTTCTTAAATTTTCTACTTTTGTGTCTACTCAATTTGGTGCTAAGATCAAAGCTTTGCAATGTGATAATGGTCGTGAATTTGATAATTCTCAATTTGCATCCTACTTTCATACTCATGGAATTCATCTACGTTCTTCTTGTCCCTCAACTCCCCAACAAAATGGGAAAGCTGAGCGCATGAATAGAACGATCATGAACATGGTTCGTTCTTTACTTTTTCAAGCAAATTTGCCTGGTAAATTTTGGGTGGAAGCTATTTATGTAGCTGTTCATCTTCTAAATATATTACCTACTTCCAGGCTACATTTTCTTACTCCTCATGAGGTGCTTTTCGATTCCCCACCGAAATATGATCCCTTAAGAACATTTGGTTGTGCCTGCTATCCTAATATGTCTGCCACTACACCACATAAATTAGCTCCTCGCTCCACCTTATGTATTTTTCTAGGCTACCCGACTCATCATAAGGGTTATCACTATCTTGATTTGGCAACCAATAAGATTATTATCTCGAGGCATGTTTTTGATGAA